AAAAGGAATCAACGACCTCACGTGATTATGAGTTTGAATAAAGACATCGAAAAAGAAAGGACAATGGCCAAAATGTCTTTGGGAATATTGGTAAATAGATTCGAGAGACGTGTTTGGCAGAAAGAAAGAAATCTCTAGAGGTTCTATGCGAAAGACTTAGACTCCATTACCATTAGAGTTGAAATGAATCGGGAGAGATCAAAATAGGGTAGGATTGATTTCATCGAGGCTAGCATAGTGTATGATTAGCGTTCTATACTGTCGACTTCATTCTGATCTCAGCTGTCACTCGTTTTCCTCCATTTTAGACTCATTTTTCATTGACAATTTGCTCGAGACGAGCAAAGCGACAAGTCTGGGGGAGTTTGATAACACGCAATATATCATGGATTTTTATATGATTCGTCCGACACATTTACCTGACTTTATGATATCTCAGGCGTTTAAGTGGGTGTTTAGCTTCGGTTTCGTTTTGGTTTAATCTTTACAGGTACTACGCATTACGAGCGGAAAAATGAGCGAAAACCAACCGAATCCGAAATCAGAAGCAAGAACCGATCGTTTCAAGGCATTCCGAAACGATCGTTTCGCCTCTTGAACAAGAACAGAAGAATCACCCAGAAGGCGAAACTGATCGGTTCATTATGAGAAAACCGATCGGTTCGATTTGCGGAAATTAAAGATCTGGATCAGAAATATGAACCGATCGGTTCACCATATGATAAAACGATCGGTTCTCAGGCGAAGTTTTTGGAAACATTCTGATTTCGGCCAAAACAGATAGAAATAAAAGGGAGAAAGCTTCTAGGTTTCAAGGCATTCCGAATTTTGAGCAGAATAGTCACCCAATAGCAGAGAAAAGAGGGAGATTATCAGAAGCAAGAGATTGGAGTAGAAGACAGAGATCACGAAGCTGAGAAATCGACTAAGAGTTTCTTCCTTATTCTATTTTACAATGTCTTGTTGTATTGATATGAACCCCGTCGTTTCGATGCGTAGCGAGTAGTCCCCTTGCTGC